CTGAGCTAATCCAACTGACAAAAAGCTTGTATCTCATCGATCGTCAGGCTGAAGGCCAAAAGAGCCGGGCATCATCCGCATTACAGTGGTATGAGAAGCCATGAGACTCAATCATCTGTCCCACAGATGTATTGTAGATAGAAAAGAGCAGCTGATCCAGGCATCGATCTCGCTAAATGCCAAGACCTGGGACTTAATTACCACAAAATAAAGGTTGAAGTGAACATCAGCTGCAGCTGCTGGCTCACATCTGCAAGCAAGCGCTCAACCATGGATCATGAGGCTTGAAGGACAAATAAAGCTTGGTGTAATCTGTATAGCAGTGGTATGAGAAGCAGACAAGGTGTAAGATGATTGGCTTAGTTCTATAACGCATGAATGTGTGCAACTGTTACTAAAATAGGTCACCGAGATTGGGTTTGAGTGGTTTTTGGAGGATCCAGGCATCGATCTCGCTAAATGCCAAGACCTGGGACTTACTTACCACAAAATTAAGGTTGAAGAGAACATCAGCTGCAGCTGCTGGCCCACATCTGCAAGCAAGCGCTAACTATGGATCGTCAGGGTGTAAGGACAAATAAAGCTTGGTGTAATCAGCCAGCAATGGTTTGAGAAGCAGACAAGGTGTGAGATGATTGGCTTAGTTCTATAATGCATGAATGTGTGCAACTGTTACTAAAATAGGTCACCGAATTGGGTTTGGAGGATCAGGCATCGATCTCACTAAATGCAAGACCTGGGACTTACTACCACAAAATAAAGGTTGAAGTGAACATCAGCTGCAGCTGCTGGCCCACATCTGCAAGCAAGCGCTCAACCATGGATCATGAGGCTGGAAGGACAAATAAAGCTTGGTGTAATCTGTATAGCAGTGGTATGAGAAGCAGACAAGGTGTAAGATGGTAGGCATAGTTCTATAATGCATGTATATGTGCAACTGTTACTAAAATACGTCACAGATACTGTTTTTTGGAGGATGCGGGCATCGATCCCACTACCTCTCGCATGCTAAGCGAGCACTCTACCTTCTGAGCTAATCCCCTGCCAAAAAGCTTGTATCTCACCGATCGTCAGGCTGGAAGGCCAAATAGAGCCGGGCATCATCCGCATTGCAGTGGTATGAGACGCCATGAGACTCAATCATCTGTCCCACAGATGTATTGTAGATAGAAAAGAGCAGCTGACCAAAAACGACCTCTTCAGAATGCGCCGCGTGGCCATTTGAACCATACAGTGTGGAAAATGTTTGAAGTGAACATCAACTGCAGCTGCTGGCCCACATCTGCAAGCAAGCGCTCTACCATGGATTGTCAGGGTGTAAGGACAAATAAAGCTTGGTTGTGTAATCAGCACAGCAGTGGTTTGAGAAGCAGACAGGGTGTAAGATAAATGGCTAAGTTCTATAATGCATGAATGTGTGCAACTGTTACTAAAATAGGTCACCGAGATTGTTTTTAGTGGTTTTGGAGGATCCAGGCATCGATCTCGCTAAATGCCAAGACCTGGGACTTACTTAACCCAAAATAAAGATTGAAGTGAACATCAGCTGCAGCTGCTGGCACAGAACCGCAAGCCAGCGCTCAACCATGGATCATCAGTCTGGAAGGACAAATAAAGCTTGGTGTAATCTGTATAGCAGTGTATTCATTCAAATTTTAATTTCAATTCAATTCAATTTTATTTGTATAGCGCTTTTACAATAGTCATTGTCTCAAAGCAGCTTTACAGAAATAAAAAACAGGTATGAACAGTCAGAAACATCTAAAGAGAGACAAACAGGAACAGATAAACAGAGACAAACAGGTAGAGAACAAATGGAATTTATCCCAACTGAGCAAGCCACTGAGTGGCGACGGTGGCAAGGAAAAACTCCCTAAGATGTTTTTTGAGGAAGATACCTTGAGAGGAACCCGACTCAGAAGGGAAACCCATCCTCATCTGGGTAACACAGAGGGTATGAGAAGCAGACAAGGTGTAAGATGATTGGCATAGTTCTATAATGCATGTATGTGTGCAACTGTTACTAAAATACGTCACAGAGACTGTTTTTGGAGGATGCAGGCATCGATCCCACTACCTCTCGCATGCTAAGCGAGCACTCTACCATCTGAGCTAATCCCCCTGCCAAAAAGTTTGTATCTCATCGATCGTCAGGCTGGAAGGCCAAATAGAGCTGGGCATCATTCACATTGCAGTGGTATGAGAAGCCATGAGACTCAATCATCTGTCCCACAGATGTATTGTAGATAGAAAAGAGCAGCTGATCCAGGCATCGATCTCGCTAAATGCCAAGACCTGGGACTTACTTACCACAAAATAAAGGTTGAAGTGAACATCAGCTGCAGCTGCTGGCCCACATCTGCAAGCAGGCGCTCAACCATGGATCGTCAGGGTGTAAGGACAAATAAAGCTTGGTGTAATCTGTATAGCAGTGGTATGAGAAGCAGACAAGGTGTAAGATGATTGGCATAGTTCTATAATGCATGAATGTGTGCAACTGTTACTAAAATAGGTCACCGAGATTGGGTTTGGAGGATCCAGGCATCGATCTCGCTAAATGCCAAGACCTGGGACTTACTTACCACAAAATAAAGGTTGAAGTGAACATCAGCTGCAGCTGCTGGCCCACATCTGCAAGCAAGCGCTCAACCATGGATCATGAGGCTGGAAGGACAAATAAACCTTGGTGTAATCAGCACAGCAGTGGTTTGAGAAGCAGACAAGGTGTAAGATGATAGGCATTGTTCTATAATGCATGTATGTGTGCAACTGTTACTAAAATAGGTCACCGAGATTGGGTTTGAAGGATCCGGCATCGATCTCGCTAAATGCTAAGAATTGGGACTTACTTACCACAAAATAAAGGTTGAAGTGAACATCAGCTGCAGCTGCTGGCCCACATCTGCAAGCAAGCGCTCAACCATGGATCATGAGGCTGGAAGGACAAATAAACCTTGGTGTAATCAGCACAGCAGTGGTTTGAGAAGCAGACAAGGTGTAAGATGATAGGCATAGTTCTATAATGCATGTATGTGTGCAACTGTTACTAAAATACATCACAGATATTGCTTTTTGGAGGATGCGGGCATCGATCCCACTACCTCTCGCATGCTAAGCGAGCACTCCACCATCTGAGCTAATCCCCTGCCAAAACACTTGTATCTCATCGATCGTCAGGCTGGAAGGCCAAATAGAGCCGGGCATCATCCGCATTGCAGTGGTATGAGAAGCCATGAGACTCAATCATCTGTCCCACAGATGTATTGTAGATAGAAAGAGACACCCTGACAAAAACGACCTCTTCAGAATGCCGTGGGCCATTTGTACCATACAGTGTGGGAAATGTTTGAAGTGAACATCAACTGCAGCTGCTGGCCCACGTCTGCAAGCAAGCGCTCTACCATGGATTGTCAGGGTGTAAGGACAAATAAAGCTTGGTGTAATCAGCACAGCAGTGGTTTGAGAAGCAGACAGGGTGTAAGATAATTGGCTTAGTTCTATAATGCATGAATGTGTGCAACTGTTACTAAAATAGGTCACCGAGATTGGGTTTGGAGGGTCCAGGCATCGATCTCACTAAATGCCAAGAACTGGGACTTACTTACCACAAAATAAAGGTTGAAGTGAACATCAGCTGCAGCTGCTGGCCCACATCTGCAAGCAGGCGCTCAACCATGGATCATGAGGCTGGAAGGACAAATAAAGCTTGGTGTAATCTTTATAGCAGTGGTATGAAAAGCAGACAAGGTGTAAGATGATTGGCTTAGTTCTATAATGCATGAATGTGCGCTATTACTAAAATTTGTCACAGAGACTGTTTTTTGGAGGATGCGGGCATCAATCCCACTACCTCTCGCATGCGAAGCGAGCACTCTACCATCTGAGCTAATCCCCCTGTCTGTAAGGTTGTATCTCATCGATCGTCAGGCTGGAAGGCCAAATAGAGCCAGGCATCATCCGCATTGCAGTGGTATGAGAAGCCATGATACTCAATCATCTGTCCGACAGATGTATTGTAGATAGAAAAGAGCAGCTGACAAAAACTGACCTCTTCAGAATGCCGTATGGCCATTTGAACCATACAGTGTGGAAAATGTTTGAAGTGTACATCAACTGCAGCTGCTGGCCCACATCTGCAAGCATGGATTGTCTGGGTGATCATCTGCTACCATGGATTGTCAGGGTGTAAGGACAAATAAAACTTGGTGTAATCAGCACAGCAGTCGTTTGAGGAGCAGACAGGGTGTAAGATGATTGGCTTAGTTCTATAATGCATGAATGTGTGCAACTGTTACTAAAATATGTCACAGATATTGTTTTTGGAGGATGCAGGCATCGATCCCACTACCTCTCGCATGCGAGCACTCTACCATCTGAGCTAATCCCCCTGACAAAAACCTTGTATCTCATCGATCATCAGGCTGGAAGGCCAAATAGAGCCGGGCATCATCCGCATTGCAGTGGTATGAGAAGCCATGAGACTCAATCATCTGTCCCACAGATGTATTGTAGATAGAAAAGAGCAGCTGACAAAAACTGACCTCTTCAGAATGCCGTGTGGCCATTTGAACCATACAGTGTGGAATTAGTTACAGCTACAGCTGCTGGCCCACATCTGCAAGCAAGCGCTCTACCATGTATCGGCAGACAAGGTGTGAGATGATTGGCTTAGTTCTATAATGCATGAATGTGTGCAACTGTTACTAAAATAGGTCACTGAGATTGGGTTTGGAGGATCCAGGCATCGATCTCGCTAAATGCCAAGACCTGGGACTTACTTACCACAAAATGAAGGTTGAAGTGAACATCAGCTGCAGCTGCTGGCCCACATCTCAAGCAGTAAGCGCACCATGGATCATGAGGCTGGAAGGACAAATAAAGCTGGGTGTAATCTGTATAGCAGTGGTATGAGAAGCAGACAAGGTGTAAGATGATAGGCATAGTTCTATAATGCATGAATGTGTGCAACTGTTACTAAAATTACCCCACAAATATTGTTTTGGAGGATGCAAGCATTGATCCCACTACCTCTCGCATGCGGCGAGCACTCTTTCATCTGAGCTAATCCCCCTGTCTGTAAGGTTGTATCTCATCGATCGTCAGGCTGGAAGGCCAAATAGAGCCGGGCATCATCCGCATTGCAGTGGTATGAGAAGACATGAGACTCAATCATCTGTCCCTAAAATAGGTCACCGAGATTGGGTTTGGAGGATCCAGGCATCAATCTCGCTAAATGCCAAGACCTGGGACTTACTTACTTACTCAATCATCTGTCCCACAGATGTATTGTAGATAGAAATGAGCAGCGGACCAAAACTGACCTCTTCAGAATGCCGTGTGGCCATTTGAACCATACAGTGTGGAATCAGTTACAGCTTCATCTGCTGGCCCACATCTGCAAGCAAGCGCTCTACCATGTATCGTCAGGGTGTAAGGACAAATAAAGATTGGTGTAATCTGCACAGCAGTGGTTTGATAAGCAGACAGGGTGTAAGAGAAATGGCTTAGTTCTATAATGCATGAATGTGTGCAACTGTTACTAAAATACATCATAGAGACTGTTTTTGGAGGATGCGGGCATCGATCCAACTACCTCCCGCATGCGAAGCGAGCACTCTACCATCTGAGCTAATCCCCCTGTCTGTAAGGTTGTATCTCATCGATCGTCAGGCTGGAAGGCCAAATAGAGCCGGGCATCATCCGCATTGCAGTGGTATGAGAAGCCATGAGACTCAATCATCTGTCCCACAGATGTATTGTAGATAGAAAAGAGCAGCTGACAAAAACTGACCTCTTCAGAATGCCGTGTGGCCATTTGAACCATACAGTGTGGAATCAGCTACAGCTACAGCTGCTGGCCCACATCTGCAAGCAAGCGCTCTACAATGTATCGTCAGGGTGTAAGGACAAATAAAGCTTGGTGGAATCTGTATAGCAGTGGTATGAGAAGCAGACAAGGTGTAAGATGATTGGCTTAGTTCTATGATGCCTGAATGTGTGCAACTGTTACTAAAATAGGTCACCGAGATTGGGTTTGGAGGATCCAGGCATCGATCTCGCTAAATGCCAAGACCTGGGACTTACTTACTTACTCAATCATCTGTCCCACAGATGTATTGTAGATAGAAATGAGCAGCGGACCAAAACTGACCTCTTCAGAATGCCGTGTGGCCATTTGAACCATAGAGTGTGGAAAATGTTTGAAGTGAACAGCAGCTGCAGCTGCTGGCCCACATCTGCAAGCAAGCACTCTACCATGTATCGTCAGGATGTAAGGACAAATAAAACTTGGTGTAATCAGCACAGCAGTCGTTTGAGGAGCAGACAGGGTGTAAGATGATTGGCTTAGTTCTATAATGCATGAATGTGTGCAACTGTTACTAAAATAGGTCACCGAGATTGGGTTTGGAGGGTCCAGGCATCGATCTCGCTAAATGCCAAGACCTGGGACTTACTTACCACAAAATAAAGGTTGGAGTGAACATCAGCTGCAGCTTTCATCGATCGTCAGGCTGGAAGGCCAAATAGAGCCGGGCATCATCCGCATTGCAGTGGTATGAGAAGCCATGAGACTCAATCATCTGTCCCACAGATGTATTGTAGATAGAAAAGAGCAGCTGACAAAAACTGACCTCTTCAGAATGCCGTGTGGCCATTTGAACCATACAGTGTGGAAAATGTTTGAAGTGAACATCAACTGCAGCTGCTGGCCCACATCTGCAAGCAAGCGCTCTACCATGGATTGTCAGGGTGTAAGGACAAATAAAGCTTGGTGTAATCAGCACAGCAGTCGTTTGAGGAGCAGACAAGGTGTAAGATGATTGGCATAGTTCTATAATGCATGTATGTGTGCAACTGTTACTAAAATACGTCACAGAGACTGTTTTTGGAGGATGCGGGCATCGATCCCATTACCTCTCGCATGCTAAGCGAGCACTCTACCATCTGAGCTAATCCCCCTGCCAAAATGCTTGTATCTCATCGATCGTCAGGCTGGAAGGCCAAATAGAGCCGGGCATCATTCACATTGCAGTGGTATGAGAAGCCATGAGACTCAATCATCTGTCCCACAGATGTATTGTAGATAGAAAAGAGCAGCTGACAAAAACTGACCTCTTCAGAATGCCGTGTGGCCATTTGAACCATACAGTGTGGAAAATGTTTGAAGTGAACATCAACTGCAGCTGCTGGCCCACATCTGCAAGCAAGCGCTCTACCATGGATTGTCAGGGTGTAAGGACAAATAAAGCTTGGTGTAATCAGCACAGCAGTGGTTTGAGAAGCAGACAGGGTGTAAGATAATTGGCTTAGTTCTATAATGCATGAATGTGTGCAACTGTTACTAAAATAGGTCACCGAGATTGTTTTTGAGTGGTTTTTGGAGGATCCAGGCATCGATCTCGCTAAATGCCAAGACCTGGAACTTACTTAACCCAAAATAAAGGTTGAAGTGAACATTAGCTGCAGCTGCTGGCACAGAACCACAAGCCAGCGCTCAACCATGGATCATCAGCCTGGAAGGACAAATAAAGCTTGGTGTAATCTTTATAGCAGTGGTATGAAAAGCAGACAAGGTGTAAGATGATTGGCTTAGTTCTATAATGCATGAATGTGTGCAACTGTTACTAAAATAAGTCACTGAGACTGTTCTTGGAGGATGCGGGCATCGATCCCACTACCTCTCTCATGCGAAGCGAGCACTCTACCATCTGAGCTAATCCCCCTGTCTGTAAGGTTGTATCTCATCGATCGTCAGGCTGGAAGGCCAAATAGAGCCAGGCATCATCCGCATTGCAGTGGTATGAGAAGCCATGATACTCAATCATCTGTCCGACAGATGTATTGTAGTTAGAAAAGAGCAGCTGACAAAAACTGACCTCTTCAGAATGCCGTGTGGCCATTTGAACCATACAGTGTGGAAAATGTTTGAAGTGTACATCAACTGCAGCTGCTGGCCCACATCTGCAAGCAAGCGCTCTACCATGGATTGTCAGGGTGTAAGGACAAATAAAGCTTGGTGTAATCTTTATAGCAGTGGTATGAGAAGCAGACAAGGTGTAAGATGATTGGCTTAGTTCTATAATGCATGAATGTGTGCAACTGTTACTAAAATAGGTCACCGAGATTGTTTTTGAGTAGTCTTTGGAGGATCCAGGCATCGATCTCGCTAAATGCCAAGACCTGGGACTTACTTAACCCAAAATAAAGGTTGAAGTGAACATTAGCTGCAGCTGCTGGCACAGAACCGCAAGCCAGCGCTCAACCATGGATCATCAGTCTGGAAGGACAAATATAGCTTGGTGTAATCTTTATAGCAGTGGTATGAGAAGCAGACAAGGTGTAAGATGATAGGCATAGTTCTATAATGCATGTATGTGTGCAACTGTTACTAAAATACATCACAGATACTGTTTTTGGAGGAGGCAGGGGTCGACCCCACAACTCTCGTGCGGCCCGCACTGTACCATGCCGGCTAATCCCCTGACAAAAACCTTCTATCTCATCGATCATCAGGCTGGAAGGCCAAATAAGACCGGGCATCATCCGCATTGCAGTGGTATGAGAAGCCATGAGACTCAATCATCTGTCCCACAGATGTATTGTAGATAGAAAAGAGCGCAGCTGACAAAAACTGACCTCTTCAGAATGCCCGTGTGGCCATTTGAACCATACAGTGTGGAATTAGTTACAGCTACAGCTGCTGGCCCACATCTGCAAGCAAGCGCTTTACCATGTATCGGCAGACAAGGTGTGAGATGATTGGCTTAGTTCTATAATGCATGAATGTGTGCAACTGTTACTAAAATAGGTCACCGAGATTGGGTTTGGAGGATCCAGGCATCGATCTCGCTAATTGCCAAGACCTGGGACTTACTTTCCACAAAATAAAGGTTGAAGTGAACATCAGCTGCAGCTGCTGGCCCACATCTGCAAGTAGCGCTCAACCATGGATCATGAGGCTGGAAGGACAAATAAAGCTTGGTGTAATCTGTATAGCAGTGGTATGAGAAGCAGACAAGGTGTAAGATGATAGGCATAGTTCTATAATGCATGTATGTGTGCAACTGTTACTAAAATACATCACAGATATTGTTTTTGGAGGATGCGGGCATCGATCCCACTACCTCTCGCATGCTAAGCTAGCACTCTACCATCTGAGCTAATCCCCCTGGCAAAATGCTTGTATCTCATCGATCGTCAGGCTGGAAGGCCAAATAGAGCCAGGCATCATCCGCATTGCAGTGGTATGAGAAGCCATGAGACTCAATCATCTGTCCCACAGATGTATTGTAGATAGAAAAGAGCAGCTGACAAAAACTGACCTCTTCAGAATGCCGTGTGGCCATCTGAACCATACAGTGTGGAAAATGTTTGAAGTGAACATCAACTGCAGCTGCTGGCCCACATCTGCAAGCAAGCGCTCTACCATGGATTGTCAGGGTGTAAGGACAAATAAAACTTGGTGTAATCAGCACAGCAGTCGTTTGAGGAGCAGACAGGGTGTAAGATGATTGGCTTAGTTCTATAATGCATGAATGTGTGCAACTGTTTCTAAAATAGGTCACCGAGATTGGGTTTGGAGGATCCAGTCATCGATCTCGCTAAATGCCAAGACCTGGGACTTACTTACCACAAAATAAAGGTTGAAGTGAACATCAACTGCAGCTGCTGGCCCACATCTGCAAGCAAGCGCTCTACCATGGATTGTCAGGGTGTAAGGACAAATAAAACTTGGTGTAATCAGCACAGCAGTCGTTTGAGGAGCAGACAGGGTGTAAGATGATTGGCTTAGTTCTATAATGCATGTATGTGTGCAACTGTTACTAAAATACGTCACAGATATTGTTTTTGGAGGATGCAGGCATCGATCCCACTACCTCTCGCATGCGAGCACTCTACCATCTGAGCTAATCCCCCTGACAAAAACCTTCTATCTCATCGATCATCAGGCTGGAAGGCCAAATAGAGCCGGGCATCATCCGCATTGCAGTGGTATGAGAAGCCATGAGACTCAATCATCTGTCCCACAGATGTATTGTAGATAGAAAAGAGCAGCTGACAAAAACTGAC